TACCAAGACGGAGTAAAGCTTTTATAACTCACTGAGATGCAACCTATAGACAAGAAGAAAGAGCTGATCCGTTACTGACAATAAACCAACCTAGACTTTGCTGCGCGGATCAAAAGCTAACTTGGAGACACCGTCGAGAGGAAAAGAGGAACCGCTGCACCCCAGATCACGAAACAAGCGGCACCTTCAGCTGTCAAGAAGACTGCAACAATACCGATGAGCAATCTTAAAGGCAGACCCAGATTACAGGTCTGAACTTTAAATAATAACAAGTGGACACTAGATATATAATAAGTTGACATCTCTTCAATATATCCGTCATTTAAATGATACACCTGTTATTTCCAATATTTTTATGTTATTGTTTAAATATGCCGGAGAGGACAGAGCTAACATGAACATAGCAGTGCTTAAGGACACTCCACTCAGAGACCCGCTCCTCACTGGGACAACTCTCCAAAAGACTGAAAACAACATCAATCTTACAGGGTTTATAACCTACAACCCACTAAAGAGGTTTCTTCTTACCTCATTATTATTTTTATTTGTTTTTGTTTTCCGCTGTTGTTTCATACAGCGTTGTTTCAGGCAAGTGTTTGGTGTACAAAGAAAATTTTCCTTACCATAAAAATGCCACATATTAATCCAAACTTAAATATCCTCTCCTTTAAAGTAAGATGGAATTGTGATCCACAAAAAGTTCAAAAAATATTACAAACTTAAAAAAGTCAAACAATCATATTGCCCTCGCCTGCAAGAAACCCACCTGCGGACCTGGAGCATAAAAACCTAGAAAAAGTCTTTATAAATATGTATATGCATCATCATAACAAATCAGGCCATCGGAGAGGGTCGTTATTTTATTACACTCCAGGAAAAGCTTTGAATATAGTTCATCCAAAAGGGATAAAGAGGGCTTATAAAATGGTGAAAGGAAAATAGACGGCTTTCCTGTAACAATCTTCATTATTTAACACCACCAGAATGTATTTATTCTTTCTATAAGAACAAATTGAATTTAAGTCTCCTGACACAGACGGAATGCTAATATGCGGAGTGGATATGAATTGAATTAACCAAACTTGACATTCAAAGGTCCCAACAACAATAACAAACAAAATCATTGACAAAGAAGTTGAAAGGTGTTATGGAGGAAACTGTATTATTGACATAAGGATGACTTCTACCCATCAGACGACTATACACACTACTCTGCTCCCTAGGACCAAACCTCAACTTATCGAGAATTGATTCGATTCATCTTAACGAATTTTACAAATTAACAAATTGGAGACTCAATTCCAACATTTTAAATTACCCTGAAATTCGAGATCAATTTAAGGAGGAAATTAGGTTGTATTTTCAAGAAAATGACAATGAAGAAGTGACACCAGCTGTGCTATGGGATGCCTACAAGGCTGTTATTCGGGGGAAACTGATCCAATGCACTTCAAGGCTTAAGAGACAAAGAATTGAGAGATTAAATAATCTTCAAGTTAAGCTAAAGAACATGCAAAGACAACATAAAAATACGATTGACAAAGACAAAACATTGGAAATAAAAAGAATACAGAATGAAATTGAGGCTTTATACTCAGAAGAAATAAAGAAAAAATTATTATTTACAAAACAAAGCTTCTACGAAACCAGTGGTAAGTCAACTAAATGGCTAGCTTTCAGATTAAAAAAACAGCAAGCAGACTGTACAGTTTATAAAATAAAACACCCAAAAACGAACGCTCTTCATAGCGACACTCTGGAAATACAAAAAAGTTTTGAGACTTACTATCAAGACTTATACTCCCAACCTAAATTAAATAATGACCATCAAATTGATGCATTTCTGCATTCACTGAACCTCCCTAGGGTCTCAAAACCGGAAAATGACACACTGATAAAAGAAATTACTGATAACGAAATTAAGGCTGCCATTTCTAGATTAAAACCACGTAAAAGCCCAGGTTCAGATGGTTTTACATGTGAATGGTATAAAACCTATAGAGAGGAATTAACTCCGAGACTGACGAAGGTGTGTAACTGGGTACTCAGGGGTGGTGAAGTTCCTCCCTCTTGGAGGGAGGCAGTAATCTCAGTCATTCCAAAAGAAGGGAAAGACAAATACAATTGCAGCCAATATCGTCCAATATCGGTCTTAAATCTGGATTACAAAATATTCACATCCATTATAACTAAACGACTGGATAAAATCATGCCTAAACTTATAAATTTGGACCAAACAGGTTTCATCAGTCAAAGACAGACTCAAGATAGTATAAGACGGACGCTCCATGTCATGAACCATGTTAAAAATAATAACACCGAGGCTATGCTGATGGGGTTAGACGCAGAAAAAGCGTTCGACTCTGTCAGATGGACATACCTATATAAAGTGATGGAGAAATTCGGATTTCACAACACTATTATCAAGACAATACAATCATTATACAACAAACCAACAGCAAGGATCAAAATCAATGGAAATTTATCAAATTCATTTACACTAGAACGCTCCTGTCGCCAGGGTTGTGCTCTTTCACCGAGCCTATTTGCTTTGTTTATGGAACCTCTTAGCCAGAGCATCCGGCAAAGCAATCTTATCAAAGGTATCAACATGAAAGCTGGAGTGCAAAAATTGTCTCTTTTTGCTGACGATGTCCTGATATATTTGGGAAAGCCCAGCACATCTCTACCTGCCCTGATGACAAAATTAGAAGAATTTGGAGCCCTGTCAGGTTATAAACTAAATGTTCAGAAAACTCAGATTATGACGTTCAACTTTGATCCCTCAAAAGAACTTAGAACTAAGTACAACTTCAAGTGGAACCAGGACTCCATGAAGTACCTGGGTGTTGTTATAAGTAGAGATCTTGAAAAACTCTTTGAAAAGAATTACAACCCAACCATTTCAAAAATAAAACTAGACATATCAAGATGGAGTCTCATACCAACTCTTGGTCTGATGAACAGGATAGAATCTATTAAGATCAGTATCCTTCCACGTTTACTTTACCTCTTCCAAACACTCCCCATCCCCATCTCAAAACAACAGTTTGCAGAACTTGATAAATTAATCTCTCGTTACATATGGTTGGGGAAAAAACCCAGGATAAGATATAGTACACTCCAAATGGGGAAAGAAAAAGGGGGACTATCCCTGCCATGTCTGAAGAACTACTACTATGCGGCACAATTGAGACCACTAATTTGCTTATGTAATCCAGCTTTCAAAGCAAAATGGAAAGAGATTGAAGAGGGACTGAGTGATGGTCCTCCAGTGCAAGCCATGATAGCAGACCAGACACTGCAGTCTCACCTGGAGGAACCAATAAATCCTTGGGTAAAATTTACTCTAAATATCTGGAAGGAAGTTTGTAAGGAGAACAAGTTAAACAGAGCAGATCAGATTTTAAGATGGTGTGCTTATGACACAAACTTCCTACCTAATCGTAATGACAAACGATATAGAATATGGGTAAATGCAGGTCTTACCTCATATCTAACCTTGTTACATAAGGGGCAGCTATCTGATTTCCAAACTCTGAAGCTGAAATATGGACTTGGAAATGAAGATTTCTTTCGGTATCTACAAATGAGGAATCGGTTCACTGAGATTATCTGTGCCAATAAGGACAAAAATGATAGCAAGTTATTAACAGTATTTAATTTAGCATACAACACTAATACGATTACAAAAGTTATTTCAAGGGTATACCAGGGGCTTCAGGAAAATGCAGATAATAATACTTTATATGTCAAACAAAAGTGGGAGATGGAGATGGGCTTAGGTGTGGCTGATGAGGACTGGGATTTAATTTGCAAAATACAATGGAAAACAACATTTTCCATGACTCTGAGAGAATTCGGCTGGAAAAATATGATACGTTTTTTTATGACCCCAGCCCAAAAAAGGCACCTAAATGTAGGAACGGGATGTTGGAGACTGTGTGGCAGCCAGGTGGCCAATCATCATCATCTATTCTGGGCATGCCCAAAAGTGATGCCCTTTTGGCAACAGATTCATACATGTGTGACTGAAATTTTTAAATTCAATTTTCCATTTGAGTTCCTATATCTATATTTAGGGAAAGACACCCCAAATCTTAAAACAGCAGACAAATATCTACTGAGAATAATACTATTATCTGCCAAGAAAACTATTACAAGGAAATGGCTCCAAGTAGAAGTACCAGAAATGGATGATCTGTATGATACAATTCACCAGATATTTGTGATGGAGAGACTTACAATGTCTCTGCGACTTCAGAAGGAAAAATGTGACATGTTCTGGAGGGGGTGGTTACAGTACATAAAGGACAGGAGACCGGACTTTGTCTGAAATAAGAGAGGGGGTAGGGGATACTTTACCAAAGTAAATAATGATATGGACACACTTGTCAATGTTATGTTTTTTTTTTTTTTCTTTCTTTGTATTTTTAGTATGTCTTGCTTTTACATGTCGAATTTTTATTTCTACACCCATGTTTTGGGGAGGGAAAAAAAAAAAAATTGTTATAGCTCATTATGACAGACTTTTCATTGTCTCATTGTTATCCCAACTGTTTGTATTCCGTCTGTCACCAAACTAGATGAGAACCTTGTTTTTTCTATTTTTATTTTTGTACTGACAGTTAAAAAAAAATAAAATTATAAAAAAAAAAAGGATTCCTGATAAAGTGTTGAGTGCATAACTGAACATCGTTATTTGACATTTTTTGTATTACAAACACTTTTCCTTTATTGGTCGGATGAAATATGCTATTTTTTTGAGACATCGGGATTTTTGGTTTTTCTTTACTTTTTTTCCAAAATCATCAATATTAAAACAATAAAAGGCTTGAACTACTTCAGTTGTGTGTAATGAATCTAAAATATAAGAAAGTCTACGGTTTATCATTAAGTTACAGAAAATAATGTTTATCTCAATATGCTAATTTTTATAGAAGGACCTTCTAGTCATTTGTTATTTATGTCCTCTTTACAAATGCCTTTACACCTATAAAAAATAACTATAATGATCTATTTTTTGATTAATTATGTCAAAAAATGAAATAGATTTTGAGTTTTTTATTAGGGTTTTTCTTATCTGTCATGTCTGGATTTCTCTGGAACATTTGGCACAGTGGATCAATGGTCTGGTTCCACAACACATGACGTAAAAGGAGAGAATAAAGTATGCACTGTATGGCTTTCATTTTCTCATCTTTGGGCCTGCCAGCAAAGGGGAAATGCACAAGATTCTCTCCTGAAACAGTGCGGATCTACAGCCCGTCCGTGCATCAGGATCCCTCTCTCAATCTGGGCCTGATCCCCGAGGTTTCTCACGCTTCTCCTTCTGGGTTTTTCCTCATCGATACAGGAGGGTCTGAAACTCCTGTATCAGCAACAACATTTATGGACATTGGTCATCTTCTCCTTTATTGACCCCTGTAGAAGAAATATGGGTTTGCAGCAGCAGAAAACACATCCATAAAAACACATAAGTACATTAAATATAATAATTTCTAACTAACATGGACAACTTGTGTTTTTTATCATAGCATTTCTTGTGTTTGAACTGTTTGATTCTCTGATCCGTGTTGGCGAATTGACAACTTTTCTCGAGATAACGACTGCTGTGATTTAGGGCGATACAAACATAAATTGAATTTAATTGGATGACCACTTCAGTCAAACTGGTTTTAAATCAAAGAGAAAATTGTGACAACTGCATGTCCTTGTCATCTAAACACAGCAGCTTCTGTTGTTGCAGTACTAAAGTCGGCCACTAGTCACTTACGTAGATCACTTTAATCGATCCCTGAGGAGCAGCCAGCAGTAAAGCATACTCGAAACGAGAACATGATAATAGAAAGAATATACAATAATTCAGTAACTGCACTGACAATAATTGTAAAAGATCAAAGTTGCACATGTGCATGAAAAAAATAGTGCATGCGAATAAAAAAAAAGACAAGCCTTTATGAGTTGTTGCCTGAGAATGACATCGAGTGTTCCTCCATCTGAGCCCAGTGAGACAGAAGGGAGGGGCTGGAACCCGCAGTGCCACAGATGGATAATGAAGGCACAAATTGTTACTTTTCTGGGTAAATGCATTTGTTGATGTGCTTTATTACGAACAACATCAACTTAAAAGTGAGCCAGAGCAACTTCTACAGTACCTTCTATAATCACACAGGGCAGGGCCTGGGAGATTTTCTGAATTCGAATACATGTATTTAACAGACTAAAGCCTTGTCCAGGATGTTGTACAGTAATCCTCACGCACAGGATACGTTCGCCTCCTCCTCATCGATGGTGTGATCCAGGGATTCTTCAGCCTCTAATGGGGACTCTCCAATGGCCTCTACTGGTCCAGGGTCCTCTCCTTGGGCCTCTTCTGAGGCCTGTCCTGGTCCTGGGGCCTCAACTGGGGCCTCTCCTGGCGACTCTGGTGGGGCCTCAACTGGGACCTCTTCTGGTCCAGGGTCCTCTCCTTGGGCCTCTTCTGAGGCCTGTCCTGGTCCTGGGGCCTCAACTGGGGCCTCTCCTGGCAACTCTAGTGGGGTCTCAACTGGGACCTCTCCTGGTCTTAGGGCCTCCAGTGGGGCCTCATCTGGGGCCTCTCCTGAGGCCTCTCTAGGGTCACCTGGTCCTGGGATCTCCCCTGAACCTTTTCCAGGGGCCTCCTCTTCCTCGCTGCTCTTGCGGATGCTGCGTTGGGACAGGAAGAGGCTCTGTTGTCTCTGCAGTTCACACAGCTCCCTCTGCAGGCGCTCCATGTGAAGTGCACGTCGACTCCTGATGGTGCGGCGCGAAAAGGGGTTGAGTTCACCAAAGGCCACGGCCGACAGCCTCCTGCGGGAGCAAAGGGAGAGGAGTGTTCTGGAATCATTTGTTCATTACAGGTAAATCAAGATGTTCACATACACCTACATCTTTTCAAATTTCCTGATATTTAATCCAATCAAACCTTTCCGTGCTAGTTCAGTTAGATCAACACATATGTGAATGTGAAATGTCAGAAAAAAACATTTCACACATCTGTGTCTCCGTCTGTGTGAATCTGAACGGCTGCCATTCATGTGAAGCAACAATTACATGGTTTAAAAAATCATGTTCTTCACAGTGGCATCTTAAACAACTTCAATGGTCAATAGTTTAAGTTAATGGTTTCTTTTTAGGCAATACAAATGTCATTCCTATCAGTGGGGAGCCTGTGTGCAGTGTGTGCAGTGTTTGATGTTTGGTGTGGGTCTAGTGTGGACTTGGCCTGACCCGGCGGTTTGGCTGCTGGGACCAAACACTGCATGGTGCTTCAGACTATTGTACACAGTGAGCTACCTGCCAGGAGAGAGGCCAGGGTCACATGCACCAGGAGTTAGTGCAAATATACTTTCACTGCCCGTCTGAAGGAGCAGATGTTCAGCAGGGTGTACTGGATTTTCCACCAGAGACCCCAGGACCCTCAGGAATTTTAAAGAGCCACATGACATGACGTTTATTTGATTCAGAAGCTGGGAGTTGCAGGGATTGTGGCATCTGAAGGCCCTTTTAAACATACAGTATGTAAAATAAATAAGACAAAACAAGATTATGGATTATGAAAGATAGGAAAAAGAATAACTTAGTACTGCAACTAATACAAGGTACTGTAGAAGAACCAAAAGTAATGTGATGAGTCCCACCGTTATGATGACCCTGTTACAGCCGTTCTACACTGTTACAGCCCTGTTACAGCCGTTCTACACTGTTACAGCCCTGTTACAGCCGTTCTACACTGTTACAGCCGTTCTACACTGTTACAGCCGTTCTACACTGTTACAGCCCTTTTACACCCTTATTCACCTATGCCATCCATATTACACCCTTATTACACTATACATCCTCAATACCACCATTACTATATACTTGTTAACTATATGTTTTTAAATGTTGAAAACCTACTTAAATTCAATCAAATGTCTACTCTGTTCAAAATAATTCCAAACACAGCTGCTCCCCCCCCTTTGAGAACATTTGTCACCCTGAGTTCAGAGGGAGTTGTCCGAGATGAAGAACCATGTTTGGTCAACAAACATTCTCTTATAAAGCCACAAGCCTTTGGAGCGCTCTTCCAAACTAAATCCTTTCATGAACAGATTACGGTGTGTTTAAAGGCCTGACTAAGACATGGTTATTGTCACAACCAAATTAGATGCACTGAGCGACTGAGTCATTGTGTGAAATCTCAAATTAATGTTGGATAGTTTCCTGTGTAGTGGATTGATTTTACAGAATTTCTTTGCATGTGTCTTCACATTTTCCTGTACGTAAGTGTAACATGAACCTGTCCAGGGACTACGAGTGGAAATTAGCATCTTATGCTACAATCAGGCTCATGGCATCTCCGCTGTCATAGACTAACGTCTAATGACTATCTCTGAAAAAATAGATCACATTTAGAATAAATTTAATCTCTGTTACACCCCGATTTAACCCCTATTTCACACTTATTACCCTCTTACTAAAACACTAAAACAGGTATGAGCGAGTGAACAGAGGGTTGGACTGTGAAGCTCCAGTGTGTTCAGCGTCTCGCTGCTGTCATCACCGTGCAGTGAATGGAACAATATCTGATCTTTGAACATTGTAACTTTTACAATGTTCAAAGATCAGATATTGTAAAATGCACTTTATAAATAAAGATTACTTACTTCCACCCTTATTACACCCTTAATGCACTTCTATTACACTAGACGTACTATAAACAAAAACAATATAACTATAATAAATCATTCAAAACATGAAATCAAAAAGATTATAAAATTGTAAACCGCTTTGTGACTCTGGTCTGTGAAAGGCGGAATATAAATAAAGATTACTTACTTACTTACTTAAAAGTGAAAGAATAAACTATTTAAAAGCACCATTATAAAAGAAAAGGAAAAGTGCTAGGTTTTCCAACTGAAATGAAGCCTGTTGCATGATGTCAGCATTTCCATAGTAACCGTAGAAGAGTTTAAATTGGGTGGATTTGAAGTAAACACAGCCTCACATTTTCACTAAGTGGATCCATCGATATTCTCTGTCTGACCCAACGTAATATCAATCAATCAATCAAAGTTTATTTGTAGAGCGCCTTTCATGCACAGGGCAACACAAAGCGCTTCACAGTCCACATCACAAATCATCACATAAAACAAACACCAGAATCACAATTAAAACATTAAAATCACACAAAAGATTAAAACACAATAAAAACAATAAAATCACACAAAAGAATAAAACCATTAACACTTTCAAAGTTACACAAGAAATTTAAAAAAATAAATAAATAAATGACAGCAGTGCATTACAAATGGAGATAAAATCCTTCAGTTGTATGCACAGGCAAACAGAACAGTCTTTAACCTGGATTTGAACATTGACAGAGTAGACGCCTCCCTCACATTTTCAGGGAGATTGTTCCAGATCTTAGCTGCATAGATCTGAAACGCAGCCTCCCCATGTTTGGTTCTCACTCTGGGCACCAGCAGGAGGCCAGTCCCTGTGCTCCTCAGAGTCCGGGCTGGTTCATATGACACCAACATGTCACTAATGTATTCTGGTGCAAGGCCATGGAGAGACTTGTACACAAGCAGAGCTGTTTTAAAATCTATTCTTTGAGCCACAGGAAGCCAGTGCAGAGACCTGAGGACCGGACTAATATGGTCATACTTCCTGGTTCCTGTCAGGACTCTAGCTGCTGCATTTTGGATGTACTGCAGCTGCTTACAGGTCTGTTTGGACAGACCTGTAAGCAGGCCATTGCAGTAGTCTAGCCTGCTGGAGACAAATGCGTGGACAAGAATCTCCAAGTCTGCCCTGGACACTATATTTCTGACTTTGGCAATGTTCTTCAGATGGTAAAAAGCTGTTGATGTTATTGATTTTATGTGGCTATTGAATATGCTGTTATATCAAAGGTATATAGGAGGATTTTCTACTTCTATCATCAAGACTATTGATCCTCCCAAGTGTCAATCATTCTGGTGATACATGCTCATCAAATAAGACCAGAGAGTTTTGTTCAAAAAGTGGAGAGTCAGACAACTGCACCTGAAGAAGCTTTTTACCTCGATCACGATGAAGCTTTTCTCAGATTTACAAATTAGCTCAACACGTCATGATAGATACATTGGATAATAACAGAAAACAGTTTTCCGTGTGTCTTACCACGTATTTGTTACTGTGTTCAGTGTGTGAACCTGGACAAGCTACAGCCCGTGGCCACAGAGGAGCTGCTGGTGAACCGCTCCATGGTTCTACTGGAGGACCGAAAGTTCTGGGCCGGGATCGTCTTCAATATCTCCCACAACGCCTCCGAGCTGCCCCCACACCTGAACTACAAAATCCGCATGGACATCGACAATGTGGAGAGGACCAACAAGATCAAGGACGCGTAAGTACTTACTGCATACTGGCACCACTGCTGCTGCTGCTTCTGCTGTTGGTACTACTACTCTTACTAATCCTACTAATACTACTACTACTACTACTATTACTGAAACTAATAATGATTGTAATAGACTTACGCAGTCACTATTTCTTCTTGTAGAGTATATTCTTCTGCAATCCTTATCTTGTTTTGATTCACCTTCTCATGCAGGCCATACTTTTACATCTATGCCTTTGTACATTTTCAGCACTGACTTACACTTAAAAAAGACAATGGACATGATCTCCATAATATTTATGTTTGTGATTTTCAAGCAGATGTTTTTGCAACCTCTGACTTATCTTGCTGCTACTACTATTACTATTACTGTTACTAAACCAGCGCAAACCCTCCCTTCCTTATGGTGAATCCTTTGATCCCAGTTCCTCCGGCCATAGTGTAATAGGATTGTAGGGTTTCTCACTTCTACCAATGGGAGGGGTTTTGTATGTATTATATCCATATAAAAGTAATTATAAAATTCCACATTTCATGTTTATGGAACAACATTAAATATAATGCATCATATGTGTTCTTTAATTCACCCCACATTTCCCACAGTTCTCTCCCAGTGTCGGTCATAATCATCTGTCTGTTGTGTCCTCAGATACTGGGACCCCGGACCCCGTGCGGACCCCTTCGAGGACATGCGTTACATCTGGGGAGGCTTCACGTACCTCCAGGATGTCGTCGAGCAGGGCATTGTCCGTGCCATGACTGGGACCACGGAGAGGACCGGAGTCTACCTCCAGCAGATGCCCTATCCCTGCTACGTGGACGACATGTGAGCCAAGCACAAAGTCATCACATTTACACATTAGATAAGAAATGTGAAACACTAAAATAACATCTACAAGTTTGAAAAACCTACATTATTATAGAAACTGCAAATTCTAACAGATTGAATTAACTTTGATTGTAGTTAATAGAATCAGAATGTAATTTTATAAACCAGGGTTTGACAACCTTTTCTATTAAAAGAGCCATTAGTCCGTCTCCTGCTAAAAGAAAAATAGTTGTACAAGTTGTCTTGTCTTTTGAAAGCACAACTTTTGTGCTACTCTTGTGGCATACGGTGACATTTGTGAATCTTCATTCACCACCACGGTACAATGCCTTGTTACAATCCTAATATATAGAAGTAAGACAAAAACACACGCAGGCGGACAAGATCCAGCTTCTGGAGTGGCGGAACAGGGCGCAGATGAGCAAACACAAAGGGATGTGGAACTATAAAGCGGCCGCAATTGCTCCGGTGGTCATAATGGAGGATATGGAAACCTGTACTTCTATGTACAGACAAAAATGGTCACACAACCAAAGAGCTGTCAAAGGACATCAGAAAGAAAGTTGTGGACAGACTGGGAAGACTGAATCTCCACGCAAGATCTCACCCAAAATTATCACAAGACATGTGAACAAGGATCCCCATACCGCACTGGTGGATCTAGGACTTGCAGAGAGCTGGGACCAAAGTAATCCTAACCCTAACCCTTACCATGGGCACGTCACTAGTAGGCTTCAGGAAGCTCGCTGTCCGTCATAATATGTGTCTATGGTCAGATTAAACAAAGAGGACTCGTCATGTAGACAATCTGAATGCATGACGCAGAGCAGGAACTCCTCCTTGTTCTCCTCCTTGTTCACCTCCGTCTTGTGTCTTCCCAGCTTCCTGCGCGTCATGTCCCGCTCCATGCCGCTCTTCATGACCCTGGCCTGGATGTACTCGGTGGCCATCATCCTGAAGAGTGTGGTGTATGAAAAGGAGGCGCGGCTGAAGGAGACCATGCGCATCATGGGCCTGAACAACGGCATGCTGTGGTTCAGCTGGTTCATCAGCAGCCTGGTGCCTCTGCTGGTCAGCGCCGCGCTCCTGGTGCTGCTGCTCAAGGTACACTTTCACTGTCACCGTGGTTTTAACAACTATGAGGCATTATTTGTGTTTATGTGGAGATGTTTGCTTTAGAATGTTGTATTTTAGACTGAAATCATTCTTGTGTGAGAAGTGGACAGATACGTTCTGAAGGAAATGACCCAAACAAATGATGCTTAGTCATTTAGTTGTAGTCTGAGGATGAATTAATTTGAAAAAGAGCCGTTTCTGGAATTCTCTGTTCAATGAAACAACTTTGGAAAATATACCCAGTCAAATCATGTTCTTTATTATTATGTGATTTTAAGCTTCATCTGCCTTCTCATTCTGATCATCTATCACAGTGGTTCCCAATATGGGGGTCAGGATCTCCGAAATATTTTTTACGATCTGTATGATACAAATTAGTATTATTTTTGAGAGAATATATGGGTGTTACAAGTCTTTTTCTTTTTCTAATACCTGATGTTAATTTTTATGGACCAAATAAACACAAATATTTGTTTTACAGCTGGGGAACCTGCTTCCATACTCAGACCCAGGCGTGGTCTTCTTGTTCCTGGGCTCCTACGCAGTGGTGACCATCATGCAGTGCTTCCTGCTCAGCACAGCGTTTGCCAGAGCCAACCTGGCAGCCGCCTGCGGAGGCATCATCTACTTCACCCTGTACCTGCCCTACGTGCTCTGTGTGGCCTGGTCCGACTACATTGGCTTCGGGGCCAAAGTCTTTGCTGTGAGTAGTATCTCTCGTCACATGTTTACAGGAAATGTTTTGTATGCAGTGTTTGAGTAAAAATTTGGTTAAATAAACTTTTTGTCTCTTCAGTCGCTCCTGTCCCCTGTGGCTTTCGGCTTTGGCTGCGAGTACTTCTCCTTGTTTGAGGAACAGGGCGTGGGCATCCAGTGGTCCAACCTCCTAAGCAGTCCGCTGGAGGAGGACGACTTCAGTCTGCGCACAGCCATTGGCCTCATGTACGTGGACGCGGTGCTGTACGGGATCCTCACCTGGTACCTGGAGGCTGTCTTCCCAGGTCCGACACGTGCACAGTGCCAAGCTTGTGTTTACTGCTTTGATATGTCTTTTAATGGAACAAGTGGGATGTGTCTGATGTCCTACTTAATATGTATTGTAATTTTACATCAGTCAACATTTTTCCCACATTGGGCAGAGCAAGACAGCGTTTTCTAAAAATCAAAAAGACTCGGAATGTTTCCTTTGTGCTATTCTGCTATTCTTCATAAAAGGAGCGCGGACACGGTCTTGATGTTTCTTCATCAAACTTCCCCACTTTGGGACTAATGAAGGTATCATTCATTCATAAGGTTTATTATTGATATTTATGCTCAGTTGTTGCTTTGCTTTTGACTTTATGTCAGTGTCCGTGCTCCGTTTGGCTGAAATATAAAAAAACATTTATACATACACTATTCACAAAAGGTTATGGATATTTTTTGGGGAAATTTAGGATGAGCCTAAAATACACAGCAAGCAACAATGCTCAAGTCAAACAGATATATTTTGCACAAGTGTCTGTTGTGTGGTAAGGAGACAAGGCTTTTGAAGAGGTTTGAGTGAAGCCCCAGTCAGTAATGGTCTTCTTTTGGGTGGAGTGTCCGGTATCTTTGTGGTGAAAAGATAGATGGGATCGAAAGCCAGATCCCGTCAGACCTCTGAAGCTGTGCAGGGCAGGGCCTGGTTAGTACTGTCTCCTTCTGCGGGTCAAAAACCACATATATCCACATTTGTGCACAGAAATGGCCCTTTTAAAGACATGCGGACTTAGTAAGTAATCTGAAAGTACTTGCATTTCAGTTCAATTGTTTTTTTAAACTCCTTGTTTTGATCCTTCGATGTTGGCTCGTCCACTCATTGTGAAGTGTTGGATTGTTCACCCACTAATAGGGAAGTGAGCTGGGATGAGAGGTTAGGTCAGTTTTACCCTACTGATCATGTGATGTTGCAATAGTAACTCTGGACCGCATCAGTGAAGAGAACACAATTATGGTCAAAAAGTGTGTTGTAACTATGGAAACACGCTTTTACTGCCAAGTTCATTTGGAATGAATTAGAGACGCCATACATTCCCGTCTGTAGGCCTATAATCTGATGAATATACCACATGTTCATGACTGGGGAGCAGTGGTCTGTGATTAGTTGGTTTCTTCATGTGGAATTCTTCTGTCAGTTCAATTAACCTTAATTGGGTATGGTTTGGGAAGAGGGTTGGACAAGCCAATCAGGAGATACTTTAACTGTCATAAACCTGCTCATCAGGGCTGTGCTTCATCTGCTATTCTGTACAACTCAAATAATACAACCAGCAGCACTCTAACTGTGATAGTGCCCCCTACAGGTCAGTACGGGATCCCTCGGCGCTGGTTCTTCCCCTTCACTAAGTCCTACTGGTTTGGAGAAAAAGATGGAGAAAGCAAGGTGCCTTTGAACCGCAGACGCAACCCTGGAGGTGAGCCGCCAATCCTCTTGACGACATTAATATGATTTTCTTTAGACACTTCCAGATTAAAGTACTGCACATACCAAGTCCTTACGGTCTGATGTCTCCTACAGTCTTTAAAATTAAAATCTAAAAATTCTCAGTAATAGAGATTTTCATATCACAATATAAATTAACCGTACTGATTTTGACTTTGTTTTAGTATGTAAATTATAGTTTTTCTATCAATTCCAGCCAGGGCTGGACTGGCCACTGGGTATACTGGAAAATGCCCGAAAGCCAACGCCCATTATTGGGCCGGTCAGATGTTTGCGAGATGTGTAAATCCATTGAGAAATGTTCGAGGGGCGTGCGTGACCGCAGGGCACCTGTGTTGTTTGCTGTATGTACTCAAACGGGATCTCGCCTCCTCCGCGGCTGCAGCGTTCTGGGGCAGCCTGCGGCCGCTTAGTAATGAGCACTTCCCGCGTCAAGCGGCTGTGAGCTTGTTTGACAACAACACGGTGGGCCATGTGGCCATGTCCTCAAGACTATGTACGCGCACACGACCATTCTCTGCTTGTTGTGTGCGTGTCTCTGCGTAACCTTTGCACGCAATAAATGCACTTCTGCAAGAAACAGTCCGTGTCTCCCCTGTGTCTTCCATGTGTCTCCTCACTAAGTGCGACTAAACTCGCTAAATTAAAGCCGGGATGCTTAACTTTTCCATTTTGTTAACAGCTCATGTTGGTACTGTAGGTTATTTATACGGTATGCGGAACCACAGTATGTGCTTCCGCATACCGTATAAATAAAACGTAAAAATTCCTGATTCTATCTGTGAAAACATTAATAGCCTTGTTTTGCTTGATATTACGTGATAATCAGAGTAATGATTGTGTGTGTAGTGATAGTGATGGAGGAGGAGCCTGCTCACCTGGACCCTGGAGTCTACATCGAGGACCTAGTGAAGGTTTACAGACACGGCAACAAGCTGGCTGTGGATGGACTCACTCTGGGTTTCTACGAAGGACAGATCACCTCCTTCTTAGGACACAATGGAGCCGGCAAAACCACCACCATGTGAGTGCTGCTTTAGTCTGAATTTTACGGGTTTGTTACATATTCTGTTCTCTGATTGAAACCCCTGTGTCTCCTTCGATAGGTCGATCCTGACAGGACTGTTCCCACCCACTTCTGGCACCGCCTACATTCTGGGCAGAGACATCAAATCAGACCTGAGCGCCATCCGCCAGAGCCTGGGAGTGTGTCCTCAGCACAATGTGCTCTTCAGCATGTGAGCCTGCTTCAGTCCTGCTTGACCCACTGACCGTTTTAGTCCTGCTTTCATCTAATCTTAAAATTTCCTTTTTTATTTCTACTTTAGCCCTGCTTTATACCTGCTATAGATACTCTTTAGTCCTGCTTTAAGCCTGCTAAAGACCAGCTTTCCTGTACTGCTTTAGACCTGCTTTAGACTTTCTAAAGGCACTCTTTTGTCCTGCTAAAGACCAGCTTTACTGTCTCTGCCTTAGTCCTGCTTTAGTTTTAACCCTGTCCCAGCGTCTCCTCAACTCAGTGCTGCCCCCGCAGGTTGACGGTGGAGGAGCACATCTGGTTCTACGCCCGTCTCAAAGGGCTGAGCGAGGCCCAGGTGAAATCAGAGATGGAGCAGATCCTGAAGGACACCGGGCTTCCTCACAAACGCACGGCCCGCACAAGCGCGCTCTCCGGGGGCATGCAGAGGAAGCTCAGCGTGGCCCTGGCCTTTGTGGGCGGGGCCAAAGTGGTCATCCTGGACGAGCCCACGGCCGGAGTAGATCCGTTCGCCCGTCGCGGCATCTGGGACCTGCTGCTCAAGTACCGCTCGGGTGAGGACTGGCTGAGACCCGCTCAGGCTGGGGGCTGAGGGGACCAGGGCTGTTCCATTCTGGCAAAATATCTCATTGCAATATGAAACACACATTTCAAAACTTCATATGAATTAGAAAAGATTAGATTTGTCATCATAGCCGGTGCTATGAGAGGGCCGGTGCTTTGAGACTTGGGTGGCATCTCTGACTGCCACCCCCCTGACCCAGAAATGGATTAAAGGGTAGAAAATGGATGGATGGATGGATAGATTTGTCATTTGGAATATAATAATAATGCTTCTACCGAACAGCAAGACCAAAGATAATTGTTCCTTTAACAAATCTTCAAAATAAACTCAAATAGAGTGACATTATCACACATTTGAAAATGATGACTTATCTTTAGTCCTTTTTTGTTTGCAATGAACTTAAATGATTTCACACAATTCAGATGTAATTGCAATCATACAGTCCTCATGGGGAGAGTCAGTGCAATGGCCTCTCAGACTGACTGGACGTGTGTCTGCAGGGAGGACCATCATCCTGTCCACTCACCACATGGACGAGGCGGACATCTTGGGGGACCGCATCGCCATCATCTCCCACGGGAAGCTCTGCTGCGTGGGCTCCTCCCTGTTCCTCAAGACTCACCTGGGAACTGGCTACTACCTGACACTGGTGAAGAAGGAGCCCGAGCCCTCCATGAGCTCCTGCAGGAACTCCTCCTCCACAGTGTCCGACTGCAAAAAGGTACCACTATTACTGCTACTGCTACTGTATCTACTGCTGCTACTGCTACTGTAACTGCTACTGCTACTACTGCTTCTACTGCCACTGCTACTACTGCTTCTACTGCCACTACTACTACTACTGTATCTACTGCTGCTACTGCTACTGTAACTGCTACTGCTACTACTGCTTCTACTGCCACTGCTACTACTGCTTCTACTGCCACTACTACTACTACTGTATCTACTGCTGCTACTGCATCTACTGCTTCTACTGGTACTGCTACAACTACTACTACTGCTCCTGCTACTACTGTTTCTACTGCTACTGCTGTAATGACTACTGCTGCTACTTCTAATGCTGCTACTGTAGCTACAAATGATTATCTACTGCTGCTGCTACTACTGCTACTACTGCTACTACTGCTATTGATGCTACTGGCATTACTAGGACTGCTGCTACGGCTGCTACTGCTACGACTACTACTGCTGTTGCCGCTGCTGCTACTTCTTCTGATGCTACATCTACTGCTACTACTGATGCTACTACTATTGCTATTACTACCAGTACTACTTCTGTTACTACAACAACTAATACTGCTATTAAAATAAAGCTAATAATAATAAAGCTACTACTACTGCTCCTGCTGCTACTCAAAATACCATTTCTATTACTACTACTACTCTTAATGCTACTCGTACTACTTCTACTACTACTACTACTACTACTACTACGGTGCTTGTGCTTGGCAGGATGAAGATGGCGCATCGATCAGCTCCAGTGACGCAGGACTTGGCTCTGAACACGAGAGTGAAGCAGCCACCATCGGTAAGGGAGGTTTTCATTCATATTTGAGATCACCAAGACTTTTCACATTCTGCTGAAGTCACACCCGTCCCTTTATCTCTCTTGCAGACCCCCCCAGCAGCAGTGTGGGTGGCGCCTCTACTGACCCCCCCACGGATCAACCCATGGTCCCAGCTAACATCGCCCACGTGTCTGCTCTCGTCCTGGGCCACATCCCGGGGGCACGCCTGGTGGAGGACCTGGGTCACGAGCTCACTTACATCCTGCCCTACTCCGCTGCCAAAGACGGGGCCTTCCCAGACCTGTTCCGGGCCCTGGACCAGAACTTACACCAACTGGGCATCTCCAGCTACGGAGTGTCCGATACCAGTCTGGAGGAGGTGGGCTGTTACGGCTTTAGAACTGTTTTAGACCTGCTTTTGTCTTGTTTTGAATAGTAAATATAAACTGAATTTTTCCCCACAGATCTTTCTGAAAGTAGCAGAGGACAATGGAGTGGATACAGACGTTCCCTCAGGTGAGCAGTTTTGTCATAATGATTGTGTTTATTGACTCTTTTAAACCTGTTTTAGTCTTATACAGGACATCCGGACTACTCAAACATATAATCAATTGATCAATATTTATTTGTATAGTGCATACAAAATATTTTCAAACAAAAAGTAACATAAATGGTTTCACAGTTTATAAAAACACATGGCAGGGGTTGCACACTGCGTGTCAACTGTATAAGGCATGTCAATGTGCACTTATCCACATTTTCACACATTTTGAGCAAACACATATTTTTCAATTTTATTGGAAAGAGCAGCTCAAGGCTGTGGATCCCAGCTTAAACTTTCTGAAATGGTCTTTTTGGGAAGACCAGAGAGCAGGGCACTGCGCTGCACTCATGCAAGAATCAAGGTAGATAAAAGTGACAAGAGAACAACATACAGTATATACAAGCTCATTCTGATAGATTTAAGTTTAGCCTTTAGAGTTAAACAGTGAAACATGTGTCTTCAGATGGGACTCTTCCCGTACGGGTCAGACGCAGGCGGAGGACCCACGCCTTTGGAGGAGGAGATCACCAGAGCTGTCTGAAGCCCCTCACAGAGGACGACCTGCAGGGGAATGAGTCTGAGGGAGACCCAGGTCAGCAACTGTTGGAACGGGTGTTCCTCATAAAAACACACCTGAAGTTGTTTTTCATGCTAATATTGCTGTAACGTGTCCTGGTTTCGCAGTAGAGGACCCGGACTGGCTGAACTGCACAGAGGGGAAAGGCTCGTACAGTGTGAGCGGCTGGGCCCTGAGGAGGCAGCAGTTTGTGGCACTCATCTGGAAGCGCTTCCTCTATGCCAGGCGCTCCCGTAAAGGATTCTTTGCCCAGGTGAACAGAGCTGCGTCAGGAGGGCTCTAGGACCACTCTGTGTCTGTCTTCTCTTGAATAGAATATACAGTATTTTATACTTACTTCTTTATTAAGCACAAATTAGAGATTTCATACATACTAGCTTCTTTTTGTCTTATTTTTTAGTATAAAGTTATTGTTCATTCATCTTGTGCTCTGTGCTCCTCATTCCTACTGTTTTGTAAATGGTGATGCAGCACTGACATTTCCTCACTGTGGGATGAGTAAAAGATCTCAATCTCTAAAATTGGACATGACAGACAGAGAAAAATGAGGGTTTTAAACATAAACGTCACTTTTATTTTCATTAAGGATCTCTAATTTTACTGTTTTTTGCTTATGTGTGCATTAATATTGTAAATACATATTGAAATTATAAAAATATACACCAACATATGCTGAAACTATGGCAAATACTGTTGCTTGATTTATATGTATATTTATGTATATATATATATATATATATATAATATATATATATATATATATATATATATATAATATATATATAATTAATATATATATATATATATATATAATATATATAATATATATAATATATATATATATATTATTTATATATATATATATTATTTATATATATATTATTTATATATATTATATATATATATATATTATAATATATATAATAATATATATATATATAATAATATATATATATAAATAATATATATATATATATATATATATATATATATATATTATTTATATATATATATATTTATATATAATATATATATATTATATATATATATAATATATATATTATATATATATATATATATATATAATATATATATATATATACGTATTTGTATATATACAGTATACTGTAAGTGCGTAGGCAATGTACAAAAGTATCTCTATAAATTGTAAATATTGTAAATACTTATGAATGTATGATTTATTCTCAAATGAAAAAAAATGTATCAATCAATGTGTGTGTGTGATTGCAGATTGTTCTCCCGGCCGTGTTCGTGTGCATTGCTCTGGTCTTCAGTCTCATCGTCCCACCTTTTGGAAAGTACCCCAGTCTGGAGCTGCAGCCCTGGATGTATGAGGACCAGGTCACCTTCATCAGGTAGAACTCTGACCACATGGATCCTTCTGAGGGTTTGGAGCTCAGGAAAAATCACTAATGTCTTATTTATGAACCACCTGTCATTTCACTAAGACGTGTGGGTACCTTACTTTTAAATAAATAAAACTAGTGATAAAACCAAGTCAGATGGACTTTATTACAGATTTCAATTATTTTGATTTTGGTTCCTGGGCAGTGGGTGTATCTGACTAGATATTTATCAAAGTCCATTTATTGTAAATTTTTTGTTGTTGTTGGTGTAAGGTCACAAAAACGTTGACGAAGAGCAGATGTGACAGAGATTCAAGGATAATTATGATCATAACTAGAAAACGGTAGACATCACCATTTTGGAAAGAGGAGACGGCACCTTGATATTTAAATTGTTTTACATTATATGTCCTTTTTACGGACTCAGATGTTTATATATTTGTGTGTCTCCATAGCGACGATGCTCCCGGAGACGTGAAAATGCAGAAGCTCCTCAGTGCTCTTCAGGAGGACCCGGGCTTTGGGACGCGCTGCATGAAAGACTACTCCATACCGTAAGACTTCCAACTGTCTCATACGTTCCAATCATCTGAGACGTACAAAATGTCAGCCATAACCATCAAAACATCGTCGGAATTCCATTTTGTTATATTTAGATACTAATATCTTTATCTAATCAAAGACACAGTTGTGAAAAGAATGTAATTTGACGGGAGAAAACAAATTTAGATGCAGATACTTTGTTACTCCTTGCACAGTCCATGATGTCATAGTTCAAATGATTTTTTAAATTAATTTAGTTTTGTATATCCTTAAATCTCAACAGTGGTTATCTTGAAGGACTTCACAAAGTTGTCGGTTCAACAACACAGATCAAAGAATCAAGCAGTTCAAACAGGAAGGAAACAGGAGGAAACACAATGATAAAATAGAGCCATTGGTCCATTAGTGGCAGATGACCAATGTCCAGTCATGTTTATTGATGTTGAGTGTCCTGGATCATCACCACTGTCCTCAGACCCTCCTGCATCAGCGAGGAACGACTCTTAAAAACCCAGGGCAGTGGTAACAACCTGGAGCTGAACGCCCAGAAGACAGTGGAGATGATTGTGGACTTCAGGAAGAGCACTGTCCCCCCGCCCCCACCCTCCGTGATGGACTCCCCCATCACCTCTGTGGAGTCCTTCCGTTTCCTGGGCACCACCATCACCCAGGACCTCAAGTGGGAGCCGACCATCAGCTCCCTCATCAAGAAGGCCCAGCAGAGGATGTACTTCCTGCGGCAGCTCAGGAAAGCCAAGCTGCCTGCACAGATGTTGGTGCAGTTCTACACGGCCATCATCGAGTCCATCCTCACCTCCTCCATCACCGTGTGGTTCGCTGGAGCCACAGTCAGGGACAAACAGAGACTACAGCGCATTGTGCGCTCTGCAGAGGAAGTGATCGGCCGCAGCCTTCCATCGCTGCAGGACCTGTACGTCGCCCGAGCTCGAGGCGGGCTGGTCGTATCACAGCCGACCCCTCTCACCCTGCACATGGACTATTCCAACCACTCCCCTCAGGCAGGAGGCTGCGGTCCATCAGGACTAGAACCTCCCGCCACAAGAACAGTTTCTTCCCCTCTGCTGTTGGACTCTTGAACACTTCTTAACCTGTCCCCCCGCCCTTTATAAAGTCACTTTACTGCCCATCATACGTCACTTTACTTCACTGTACTGCTGTCACCTTACATTGTGTGCACCATGTGCACTTGTATATTGTAAATAGTAACTGTAACTCTATTTTAAATTTAAATTTATTCTTTAGAAGTGTTTTTTATTCTTATTTTTATTATCTCTTTTTGACTGTTGCACTGAGCCAAAGCAATTTCCAAGTCTGTGACCTCCGTTACTTACGTTGGCAATAAAAATGATTCTGATTCAAAAGGGTCTATGTATGATATGAGATTGTATTTAAAATCCTCGTCACACCAATCTCATTGAAGCATATCATTTGGAACACTTGCATATGTCTTTTTCAATAAAGAGAGAAAGTATCAAATTAAACTGTGAAGAGAAATGAGTACACAATTCATTAAGAGTTGTATCACATCTAACCATAAACCTGTGTGTGACACTTGTGTGGCGCTTGTCTGCAGTGATACGCCGTGCACCATGGGGGACGAGGAGTGGTCGGTCCCCCCTGTCCCAGAGGACGTGCTGGAGGTCTTCTCTTCTCCGAGTAACTGGTCCATGAGCGAGCCCTCCCCTGCCTGCTACTGCAGCTGTGACGGCAACAAGCGCATGCTGCCAGAGTGTCCCCCTGGAGCCGGAGGACTGCCCCCGCCCCAGGTCAGACACAGCACCTCACACCCTCACACTGGAACCTAAAGGTCACTCATTTATCGAGCACATTTCACACAATCAAAAGTAACACACTGTGCTTAAGAGATCTTTTATTTGTCCCCAGAGTCAGGAAATTTCAGTGTTGCATCACCACTTACAGAACAGTAGGAGCACACAGCACAAGAGAAATGGACAAAAACTGTAAACTAAAATAAAAAATAAAAAAATCTCTAACTTTATCATAAAAAAGAAGCAAGTAAAAAATCCGTAGTTTTAGCATAATAAGGAATCAAGTCTAAAATGACAAACTTCCAACAAGAATGAAGTATAACATCTCTGACTAAAGCATAATAAACTATATATATATATATATATACTGTACATCTGTACATGTTAGCAGCATGAGGGTCTGGGACATAGTGGTTCTGTATTGCACATTCTGACATTCAAATTATTGCATAGATGCACGACATGTGAGGTCAGGTCGTCAGTGTTTGTCAAATCAAATCAGCTAAAAATGTCCAAGAAAAGTGGGTCTTGAGCTCAGTGTCAGAGCACATGTGATGTCATGGGGCCGAGTGTTTCAATCACTTGGAGCCTCATGAGAGAACAAGGCTTCTTCTACTTTCAGTTTTACACCAGGAACTTGGAGGCGGACCTTTTATTCCTTGCCTTACTTGATTACAGTCAGGAATATTCCACAGTTCTATGGAAGATTATGCACTTGATCCTCATAAACCGATGTCCATGGAGAGGGTTTTGCAGTATGGCTTTAATATTAACAGTTGCTCAGTGTTGGATGTGTGTGTGGTCCATGTATCATAGATGAAGCTGAGTGCCACTGACGCCCTTCAGAACCTCACCTCCAGGAACATCTCGGACTACCTGGTCAAAACCTACGCCCAGATCATCGGAAAGAGGTCCCACTCATACTGCTGCTACTGTTGCTGCTGCTGCTGCTGCTGCTGCTGCTGCTGCTGCTGCTGCTACCTCTAGTACTCTTACTCCTAGAACTCTTACTGCTAGTACTGTTACTGCCAGTAGGTCTACTTTACTGCTGCGGCATGTGCAGCTACTACTAGCACAACTACTGCTGTTATGCAACTACTACTACTACTCAGACCCTACTACTACTACTGCTACTAGTACCACTACAGCTGCTACTACTATTATTGGTGATATTATACTACTGCGTTTACCACTATTGCTGCTACTGCTGCTGCTGCTTTTACTAGTGCTATCACTACTATTACTGCTACTACTAAGTACTTTTGCTACTGTTATTACTACTACTGCTGTGGCTGCCTTTACTTCTGCTCAGTAGAGGAAAGACTTTGTATTAAAGTACTAGACTATGTATTAATTAAAACAGATAATTCGTTATTAGAACTTTCCACACTGCATCTGCTGCTATTAGTACTGCATTTACAAGGTCATTAGTAGAACTTCTGCTGTTGCTGCTGCTGTTGTTGCTTCGACTGCTGCTGTTGTTGCCGCTGCTGCTGATGTTGTTGCTGCAGTTGTTGCTGTTGCTGATGCTGTTACTCACGTTGAGATTGAAGCCATATGGATAAAATGGGTTTATTATCTTATGCCAGTGTTCATGTTTTCAATGGGATAGTTTGTTATTTTGTTTCTTCAGTCAATTTAGATATTAGAATATCCGAATAACCATCTGGATCTAGGATTTTCTTTAAGGAATGGAACCATGCCTCTTGACAGAGGTCTGCTCTCTACGAGTGCTTTTTAAAACATTTTACCTAAATTTACTGGAGAAAAATAGGGCCGGATAAATACTGATATGGGAACTATGGAAAAGCCAAACCGGCTCATGGCTGTTATACCCTCTTTAAAAACGTATATATATATATATATATATATATATATATATATATATATATATATATATATATATATATATATATATATATATATATATATATATATATATATATATATATATATATATATATATTATTATTATTATTATTATTTCTCATATAGACATATTCAATCATTAATGTATTTGAAAAAAATGACAAAATATGATCAAGGGGATTCTTTTTAGAAGCAAAAACAATTATGCTGATATAGGGAGAGCATGTGTCAATTTGTATTATCAGTATATGATTCATTATATTTATTACTAAATACTGTATATGGTCAGTTATTTTGGTTATTTCATTTGAAAACATGAAAAATGATTGAGCTGATGTATCAAACCATTGAGTGAGCTGTGTGTATATTTTCTGTTCTAGTCTGAAGAACAAAGTGTGGGTCAATGAGTTCAGGTCAGTGCTTCACCGTCCTCCTGCAAATCCTCCTTCTCTTCCTCCTTCAAGTCCTCCTCTTCCTCCTCCAATCCTTTTCCAAGTCCTCCTTTTTCTCCAGTCTTCCAGCTAGTCAACAGCTGAACTTTACAGCAAGGTATTATAGTGTGGCTGTATTAATGGAGCTGAAGTTGGTTGGATGACACTGCAAACTTGGGCTTATGATTTCAAAAACTACTTATGTACCATAAAAAGACAGAGGGCCACATAAGAGAGGAATCAGCCTGGATCCTGGAGATCTCAGATGGACCAGAGCTTTGGTGGAATCAGTTGTTCTGCAGAAATGGTCTTCCTCACAGCAGCTCGTGCACGTGTGTTTCATCCACACGTGTGTTTGTTTTTGTGTGTGCGTGTGCGTGCGTGCTGCAGGGAATCACTGCAACCTGATGAGACCCGGTCTTTGTAGGCCTGGTTTCCATGGGCAGGCACGGTTAGAGTTCCACAGGAGCAATAATCTAGATTCTAGGGTATTTGGACAAAGCCCCTGTCTTTACTCATTGTCCACTCTTTCCCCTTTTCTCTTTCTCTTTCCTTATACTTCCTCTTCCCTTCCTTATCAACAATATCATATCTTAATTTCCCAACAAACAAACTGACTCTGGACTAAACCCATCTGAGTGGACTGGACTAGGCGAGACTGGACGACAGCAAGTGCATTTCATCATTCGTATTATTTTTACATTATAGAAAAGTTAAGATGAAATGATCTCCACAAGACAGGAACATCTGAGATGTTCCCATCAATGCTCATGGCGTGTTCATAATCAGGAAATAGCAGTTTATGTATATTTCAAATCAATATAAATACCCAGACGGACTCTTACCTCATACTGGCAGTTGGCAGCCATGGTCTCTCTTGTCTAGAAACCCTGAAACTGCTGTTTTTTTATGCTCACAAAGCAGAAGGCCACAAAGAGTTAAAAATCCCTCTGCCTAGAAACAGTGGCGTTAAATCATGTCAGAAAGAAGAAACATACAAGAGAAAACGGCTTGTATGATTGTGAGAAAAGCAACATCCCTCCAGGATGATCTGAAGTCACTGAAGCCACTATTGAGCAGCATAATGTAGAAGAGTTTCTTCTGCAGAGGGGATGGACATCTGTTTAAGAGCGCTATAAGGAGATGTCTTCTGTGCATGTCTCACAGAAGACATCCTCTGTGAGACATGCACAGAGGAGGAAGAAGGTCCTAGGGAATGCCCACGGCATGCTGGATACTGTCTTTCAGCTGGCCTGGGAACACCTCAGGATTCTCCCTAGATGAACTGGAGGGAGTGTGCGTTTAGAGGGATGTGTGAGCATCAAACAGGATGGAGGAGTTTCACAATACTGTAGTCTGAACAGCTCCTGAACAGCTCCTGCCTCTTTGTCCTCCTTGTCCTCTGTTTCCCCTGGAGTCCAGCGAAGGTCCCCTCCTCCTCTCTCCCCATTCTGCTCACTGTCTCCCTCTTCTCACCTATGCTTACTTACTTCCTATTGAGCAGGTATGGAGGATTCTCATTGGGCGCTCGGAGCACCCAGGTCCTGCCTCCAGCGGATGAGGTCAATGACGCCATAGAGAGACTCCGCAAGATCTTTGAACTAGAAAAGGTACTTCAGCTACTGCTACTACTACTACCTCAGCTACTACTACAACTACTAAATCACTATGACTACTACTAATGCATCTTCTACAATAATACTACAAATACTACTGCCTCTACCAATTACACTTCTACTGCTAGTAATACTACTACTATTACTACTATTGCTAGTAATTCTACTACTAATGCCTCTAACGCTATTACTACTGCTTCTACTACTGCCTCCGTTGCTACTACTACTACTACTAACAGTATTTCTACTACTATTTGAAAGTGACTGGTAGAAACGTGTTTCACCACCCTAAGACTTGTAATTTTGCACCTGTGCTCATTAATAAGTTTGCAGCGTGTGTGCCTGAGACTGCTCTGTGTGTCCTGCAGGGGGCAGCAGCGGATCGCTTCCTGGACAATTTGTCTGGATTCATCAATGGCCTGGACACAAAGAACAACGTCAAGGTCTCACTCTGCCACTTATCTTTGACCAGCGCTGTTATGTTCGGACGCATGGCTTTACTCATTTTAATAGTACACAATAATAATAATAATACATCATACTTTTATAGCGCTTTTTGGATACTCAAATATCCTTTACAAAAGTTAATAAGAAACAAAAGGACAAACGGATTTGATGTTGTTTACTGAGACGTAGTTGTGGCAGTCGGAGATATATGAAGAGAACCAGGTCAGTGCTGTGCTGGAGATATTAGTTCAGAAAAGTTTGTTTTGTGGAATTTAGTAACATTTATACACAATGCTACATGTGATACAATTGCTTTAGTGTGCACTTTTACGATTCAAATAGGAGGCTAAACATAATAATAAGAAATTACAAAGAAGTAGATTGTAAGTACATATGTAAAAAAATCCAATAATAGTAGATTCTGAAACTAGCACCTGCTTTGTCAAAACTGCAAAATGCTTTGTTTTGCCCTGACAGGAAAGTATGCAAGATGAAAATGTTTTCTGATAAGATGAATACAGCATGATGTGACCTTATTTGTTCATAGTATTTTGCTCTTACCAGGGTGTTTTGGTGCCAAATTAAAACCAAATGTCTGCTTGTTTAATGTTTTTAAACCCAAGCTTTCATCCTGTTCCATTTGTGTAAAATCAGTCCTGAAAAATTGGTTTTGTTTGTTGGTCCTCGTTTTCCTGCGGTTTACCTTTTGCGGCCTGTTTTGCAGATTTTCCTGTGTGCAATTTTGCATGTTTTTTTCACAGCCACTAGTCCACCAGTTGCCTTTGTTTACAGTTAGAAAAAAACATTTGTGGCTTGTGTGCACCGCAGGGATTATTTCAGAGGACTTCCTTCCTGTTGCCCTCAGTCCACCTTGTCCCCCAGTTTCTTCTGCAGCTGTGTTTTACAGTGTATGCACGGCTTTAGACAGCTGGAGCGGCACTCAGACCTACACCCAACAGACTTGATATCACTGCAATCGCACTTTAGCAGCTGTGACTTCAAGTGGATAGAAAAGTGTATAAAGTGTGTGTTTATGTATAATCGATCCTGTTTGTGTATAACTAGTTCCGTTTGTATAAAATTGATCCTGTTTGTTTCCCGGTCAAGATCTGGTTCAACAACAAAGGCTGGCACAGCGTGGGTGCCTTCCTCAACGTCATGAACAATGGGATCCTGCGCGCCGCACTGCCCCCAGAGGCCGACCCCAGTTATTACGGCATCACAGCCTTCAACCACCCACTCAACTTGACCAAGGAGCAGCTCTCACAAGTGGCTCTGTGAGGACCAGCATTGAAACAGGACTAGACCAAGACTAAACAAGGACTGAACTATGACTAAACCAGGACCGACCCACCCTCTCAACCGCACCAAGGAGCAGCTCTCACAAGGGACTGCGAGGACCAGGATCAGGACTGAACCAGGACTGAACTAGGACTGAACATGGACTGAACCATGAGACATCTTAGTTCGCACATATTCAATTTAATTCAATTGTCTTTATTTACTAAACTCATACACATACCAAGTTCTAAAGATTGTAGGAGCTTTGTAAAAGGTAACTTCCAGGAAGCTGCATTAACAAAACAAATGTTATATTATACCTTTATACATTATCAAAACCAATTTCTAAACATTTTACCCATTCACACATCCTTACCGTTTCTGTTTGCACTCCTCAGTTCATGTTCTAGATGGTCTTACACACAGTAATGTCACTTGCGACACATGTGCAGTATATCCATAACAATATACATGATACATAATAAAATCATTCATGTTACAGTAAAAGACAATAAACATACATATGCTAAATGTAAACGCTTTGTTGTCCCTCCAGTGTGACCACCTCAGTGGACGTCCTGGTCTCCATCTGCGTGATCTTCGCCATGTCCTTCGTCCCGGCCAGCTTTGTGGTCTTCCTCATCCAGGAGCGTGTGTCCAAAGCCAAACACATGCAGTTCATCAGCGGCGTGCACCCGCTGCTCTACTGGGTGGCCAACTTCATCTGGGACATGGTGAGGCCACTGTCACCCACTGCAGTGACCATAACAACCACTGCAGTGACCATAACAACTACTGTAGTGACCATAACAACCACTGTAGTGACCATAACAACCACTGTGGTGACCATAACAGCCACTGTAGTGACCATAACAACCAGTGTAGTGACCATAACAACCAGTGTAGTGGCCATAACAACCATTGCAGTGACCATAACTACCACTGTAGTGACCATCACAACCACTGTAGTGACCATAACAACCACTGTAGTGACCATAACAACCACTGTAGTGACCATAACTGACCATAACAACCACTGCAGTGACCATAACAACCACTGTAGTGGTATTATAGTGTTACCTTTTAAGAGAACCAGAACAACGGGTGTGGCTTGTGCCCTGAGAGTCTCCACAGTGGACCTACCTCAGATTGTTGAACTTGTCTTGTTCATGTTTTAATCATAAGCTTGTTTGTTGTGTCTTCTCAGTGCAATTATGTGGTGCCGGCGACTCTGGTCATCATCATCTTTTGTTGCTTCCAACAAAAGGCTTATGTGTCTTCCACCAACCTGCCTGTGCTGGCCCTGCTGCTGCTGCTCTATGGGTCAGTGCTGTCACCAGACCATGACCAAGACCTCACTACTCTCATCATAGAGTCACAATCACAGACACTGCTGCCACACTGTGCCATGATACCTACGCCCAGAGTCAAAGTTGATTTTATTTTCCAAGCTTCGTAAGCCATTTGCAGTTGCATTTGCTAAATTAAAAATAATGTTGTCACTCATAATGAATAACTTGAGAGTACTTCGGGTTCTCATTTAAATTAAATAAAGTTAAAGCCACATTGATATTGTTAATAGTTAAAATGTCTAGTTAAAATGACTAGACACTATATTTGATCTGTACAGTAGTTCTGCACATCTGCTCAAGGCTTCATTTTAAAACCCAAACAGATCCTCCCCCAAAGAGGACCAAGAGCCTCCACATGGACCTAAAGTCGGACTACTGTTACTGTTACTCAGTTAAAATGTGGCAGTTGTTGTCTGCAATTTTATGGAGTAAGCTTAATCATCACACTTTAGACCTTAGCAGTAGGAGTAGCATTGACGCCGTCTCTTTTCCAGTTGGTCCATCACTCCTCTCATGTATCCCGCCTCCTTCTTCTTCACCATCCCGTCCACGGCTTACGTGGTCCTCACCAGCGCCAACATCCTGATCGGCATCAACGGCAGCATCTCCACCTTCGTCATGGAGCTGTTCGGCAACAACGTCAGTCCTGCTCAGTCCTGTATCCGTCTTTGAGCTTCATGTTGCTGTGCACTGCCACCTTTCAGATATAGACAAGAAAAGTACAAGTTAGGCCTGTTATTAACAATTCAATTGATAATTGATTAATTGGCAATTTATTATCTTGATTAATCAATTAGTTGGTTGGATCCTAAAGGTCAGAGAATGTGATTTTTTTTTTTTTTTATAAATTTGACCAAAACAAAACTGGGAACATCAGTTTAGAGATCAGTTGTTATGTTTGCTTCAAAATACCATGTACACACATTTTTCTTTCAGTCTGCAATGATTTTAGAATAATCTTAAGAAGAATTACCCCAAAACCAGCTCTCTTTACTTTAAAACATGTTTGACTGAGAAGAAGTTTAACATTTATACATCAATATCTCTGCATTTAAAGGCTGCAATATCATCTTTTTGATCTTTTCCCACATGCACCATTAGAAAGACTTGTTACTAGTGATTTTAGTGTTTCATGAGCCTTCCGTTGTCTGTCCAGGAGATCGGAGGCATTAATGACATCCTGAAGAACGTCCTGCTGATCTTCCCTCACTTCTGTCTGGGACGAGGCCTCATCGACATGGTGAAGAACCAGGCCATGGCCGACGCCCTCGAGAGGTTTGGTGAGAACAGCCGCTGACCAAACATATAAGGCCCGCGGCCATGGTGGTTAACATTCAAACCAATGGAAAATGGTCTAAGAAAAAGTGTAGCCATTTAAAAACGTTGGTGCGAGTGGTAAGGATGAGACCACTTTTAGAATACGCATCAACATCTCTTTCCCTCTTTTCCCTACACATCCTTTCACCAAGTTGTATTAGTTTGTCTTTACACACGCCCCCTCCCTCCTGCTGTCTGCACTGTTATGTCAACAATAATGTATGTGTTAAAACGTTAAAATGGTACACAAGTCGGAGGTCTAGTTTCTTCTCTTCTTTACTGACATTACTGAGGTCTTTACCTGGGAAAAAAATATGTTGACATTTTCCAATCATTTTCTTTGTGAATGAAACAAAAATGTAACAGAATCACAGAGCTGACTTTTACATACCTGTACAGTTCAGTTAACAAAAGAAGGAAAGAAGGGGAAGAGCAGCAGGGCGTTGCTGGGTTAACCACCAGTTGCTTGCTCTGGTGGGAAGGAGAGTCTTACCTAAAATATATAAAAATGTATTAAACTGATTTTGATTTCTCTTACAGAATATGACAAGCTTGGTAGAGCAAAGACATGAGATAAAGTTCATAGATAAAATTGGATAATAAATAAAGTAACCAAGAGACAAAATGCAAAAGGTCTGCTTCCTATAGGAGGATCTTTGTTTACACCCGCGTTCGCCCCTCGCCGGGTGGCAAGAAGACAGAGCGGCGCATACTGAGGCATGGATGCGACGAGTACTTTTAAAAGACTCAGTGGGCGAATAGCACTGTATATAAGTACTTTAACTCAAGCAGATCAGAGGAGATATAAAGACAAGCTAAAAATAAGTATATGAGACCGAACTGAACAAATTCAAAGCCCATATGAGACCTGGGATGACAACAAAGACTCAGACTCGCCTCTGTCTTGGCACCGATCTGCTGAGGAACGGGACTCGGAGACATTTATTCTTACTTCATAGAAAACCCGGGACCCTTCACTCAAGAAGGGACCGTGGTGAAAATCCATTTCTCGCGTTTTTCACCGCGGTAAAGTGGCACGGCATTTTGCCACACATTAAAAGCGGGTTGCCCCTGTTTGCTGTTACTTACAGTAAAGGTGGAACAGGAAGCCGCGGGGATGAGCAACCAAAATGCAATGTTTAAAATTAATCATCATTCATGAATGAATGAATGAGTGAACAAGTGCACAGTGAAAGTAGTTGCAAAACGTAGATTTGTTTATGAATTTTTATCCCCTCATCCCCCGGCTTCCCGTTCTATGTTTACCGTAGGTAACAGCATAAAAGGACAACCACTTTACCGCGGTCGTTTTTTCGCTGTTCTTTTCCAAAAGAATTAGAAAAAAATTTTAATCTGTCCCCAGCAGGCTGTACAACCGAACACACAACAAGAACGGACCATTTGATTTAGTAATACCTCTCTCCAAACGTCTAAAAATAGCTAACTCTCTAGAATCCAGGTAGCTTTCTCTGCTGTATTGCCACCCGGGTATCGTGCCGGGTGGGGAAAAACTATAAATAACGACGTCACTCCAAGATCCTCCTATTCGTCCTTAGAATTTGACATCACAACATGAGGCTATAGAACTGGAGGCTTTCTTTTCAGTCATGTGAAGCCTGGGGATGAAGTTACAACCGATGTGCTATAATCAAAATGTGAAGGTTAATTGTACACTCTAATTACACTGTATGTCACGGCCAGTGATCTAAAATGTTGCTGAAGGTTTTCTGTTTCTTTGCCATAGTTCTACTTGTTGGCAGAAGCCTGGCTCTCTGCTCTCCCCTCCACAGATCTGCTCTTCTTACCATATGTGCTCTGTTCCAGGGGAGAACCGCCTGCGCTCCCCTCTGCAGTGGGACATGGTGGGGAAGAACTTGTTTGCCATGGCCGTTGAGGGAGTGGTCTTCTTCATCATCACCGTCCTCATTCAGTATCGCTTCTGCATCAAGCCCAGGTCAGTTAGTCCTGCTTTAATCCCGCTTTAATCCTGATTTAGACCTACTTTAGTCCTGCTTTAGTCCATCTTTAGTCCTGCTTTAGTCCTACTTTAGTCCTTCTTTAGTCCCACTTTTGTCTTTAATGTTTTCCCCCCTCTGTATGTCATATTCCAAAGTAAATATACTCAAAGGCCAAAAGAATGAAAACTGTTGTTGGAGGGTTCATCAGAGCAGCGTGTGTGACGTGACGACCTCTGCCCTGTGTCTGCAGAGCCACCAGCTCTCTGCACAAACTGGGTCCTCTGGGAGACGAGGACGAGGATGTGGCCAAGGAGAGACAGAGGATCGTCCACGGCCTGGGACACGGAGACATCCTGGAGCTGCGCCAACTCACCAAGGTCTGCACTACAAACACCTGCTTTAGACCTGCTTTAGTCCTGGTTTGGACTTGGTTTAATCCTGATTTAATCTTGGTTTAGACCTGCTTTAGTCCTGGTTTGGATCTGGTTTAGACCTGCTTTCGACCTGCTTTCGACCTGCTTTAGTCCTGCTTTAGTCCTGCTTTAGTTCTGCTTTAGACCTACTTTAGTCCTGGATTAGTCCTGCTTTAGTTCTGCTTTAGACCTACTTTAGTCCTACTTTAGTCCTACTTTAGTCCTACTTTAGTCCTGCTTTAGTTATGCTTTAGACCTACTTTAGTGCTGCTTTAGTCCTGCTTTAGTTCTGCTTTAGACCTACTTTAGTCCTGCTTTAGTCCTGCTTTAGTTCTGCTTTCGATCTACTTTAGTCCTGCTTTAGTCCTGCTTTAGTTCTGCTTTAGACCTACTTTAGTTCTACATTAGACCTGCTTTAGACCTACTTTAGTCCTACTTTAGTCCTCCTTTAGTCCTGCTTTAGACCTACTTTAGTTCCACATTAGTCCTGCTTTAGACCTACTTTAGCCCTACTTTAGTTCTGCTTTAGACCTACTTTAGTCTAGCCTGGCCTTAGCCATCCGTACACTCCGCTCAATTATCATTTCACTGCATGTAACGTCTGGGTCTGGTCCCTGTGTTTGCGAATACAATCGGTTGAATTTCAACCGACCAATCAGCGAGTACGGAAGGCGGGTGTTGTAGTTAGTTGTGGGTGACGTAAGAATTTGCGTTGAACGGGAAGGTTGTAGTTTGTTGGCAATGGTGAAAAATGTGAATGTAAAGTAATCCGGTCTGGTTCTATCAAGAAATTGAAATTCGGAGCAAAAGGAATGTCTAGCAAATGTAATCGCTGGCAAAGATTGTGGCACTACTCCCCACGGGCTCCGTCAGCGGCAAAGGAGATGGCTAGGCTAAATGCTAAATGCTAACGACAGACTCGGGCGCACTACATACGTCACGGTAAACTCAGATCCAATTGTTTCAATCTGCAAAAGGAGTTAACCCCTCCCACCTGCGAACGGAGCTCAATGGAGCAAATCCAGACCTTAGTACGAAATGTAATCTGTACTATGGTGTGGTACGACCAGGCTAACTTTAGTCCCGCTATAGTAATATTTTTGTCCTGCTTTGATATACTTTAGTCCTGCTATAGCCATATTTTTGTCCTGCTTTAGATATGCTTTATTCCTGCTTTAGTCCTGCTTTAGTCCTGCTTTTAATGAACTTGGTTGGAGTGGGAATGTGTATTACTTGTTCTTTCTACAACCATATCATTGTTACCTACAGTATATTTACAGTTGTTGTGTTTGTAGGTGTTCAAAGCGAAGCAGAAACCCGCAGTGGACCGTCTGTGTGTGGGCATCCCTCCTGGAGAAGTAAGGCCCACGCTCTGCTCCTGACATGTCACTCACACATGGAGGACAGGAACGACATGGAGACATTTTAACCATGTTCCAACATTGTTCTGTTTAGCTCAATCCTCACTAATCTCTGAAGGTCAGGAGATTAAAAAACAAACTCTTTCTTCTTCTCTTAGTTAGGTCTTAAGCATTTGTTTTGTGTTTTAAAATGCAAAAAAAGATGATAAAAAAAAACGGTGGGTGAACTGGAGAATGTGGTTCAATGCTTAGTAAAATGGACTGCTTTGAACACATTTTGAATTAATATTATCTTTTCATGCTAAAATCAAACACACAGATCAGACCTCCAGGAGACCTCTAAATATTCAAGGGAAAATGTATGGCCATTTTTACAGACATGGTTGATTACCTTAAAACTAGAACTACACAATAAGATCTCATTGTTTATCATCTCAAGGTAAAACTAGTGCTGTGTAAATACAATAATATTCCAAACACATTATGGATAAGTGGTTGTTCCTGTCTGTGATTGGCTGACTTTTGTCTGTTGCTGGGCAGTGTTTTGGTTTGCTGGGAGTGAACGGAGCAGGGAAAACCACCACCTTCAAAATGCTGACGGGAGACACTATGGTGACCAGTGGAGAGGCCTTCCTCAACGGGAAGAGGTCAGTCCACTGCAAGGCCCCACACGCTCACGCTTCTACACACCGCAAGTCTGCAAGTGTAAAGCGAATCGAGTTGGTTTCACAAAGTGTTCATTTATTGAAAGGTCTTACGGGGGAGGGGGGATCTCCTGCGTTGCCCCGGGTGGCCCCTTGTCCGTGCTGTAGATGGGTTTAGGTGAGCCATTACCTTTCAAAATAATATAATACATCTATGGTCTGAGATGGGAGCGAATATCTTTGAATAGATGTAATTTCAGAATCAGAATCTAGAATTTAGCTCCATTGTTATCATCAGCAGAGCTAGTTTCATGCACATACAGAGTTGTGCCAATATCCCTGCTGCCTCATAAAAAAGGCAAGGCAACCCCGGGATCTTAACAGGCACAGAAAGAACCTTGAAAAACAATAAAACAAAAAAAAGTTAGATTTTACTTAGCTTCATTGACTTCCAAGCTCCATAGGCCACACTGAATGCACGTATAGTTTCAGAATAGTTGTGCAAACAAAGATTGTGCTGATGTGCTATAAAACACAGTACGTACAGTTTAACTTTGACAAAACCATATCAGTTTATCAAGTTTTCAAAGTACAGCACTGTCTAATAATGCAATATCTTACATTCAAGCACATTGGGTTATAATTCTGAAGAAATTTGCTATATATTTATTACCTTTCCTTTCCTCTCCTAAAAGCCTTGTCCCCATATTTGAAAGGTTAGTTTGTGCCCTCACTCTGCGGTCTAGATCTGGTCTAGATCTGGTGAGTCCTGGTGAGCTCATGTTTGGGGGAGAGTGTGAACACTGTAATACTTAAATACTTGTGAGACCATAATCCGGTTTCTTCATCTTTGTGTGGAAAGTGAGTGCCTGGTTTGAACCTGCTCTACAGTCAGAGGAGCATTCATTATGTTCAAGTGCAAACAGTGGGGCAAAAAGGTATTTAGTCAGCCACGAATTGTGCATGTCCTGCTTTGAGATGCTAAAGTTAGTTTCTAATTGCCTGCCAGCCCATTTCAGAACAAGTACTCCCATAATGCCAGCAGTTTCTGATGATTTTTATAAAAAACATTGATTTTTCAAGACCCTCAGAATATTGTGTACTATGACTATCTGAAATCTGAAAGAATGGCCTGTCTTCTTTCATCAGCAAAAATAATTTTGTTTCAAGCTTGTTTCGTTCCTCTGTAATCCTCAGTCAAGTAGAGGGAAGTTTTACTGAAATCACCAGTCTCAGACAAAAAGCTGAGAAAAAGTGCATCCTGTTTCCAAAACATCCAGAGGCAGCGCTGGTGCCACCTGCTGGTTCGATATAGTACGCTCTAAAGCTAATCCCCATACATATCAGATATAATAGACCTCAGGGAACGTGACAATAGTGGAAAACGAATTTGACTCACTATTTGCTTTGACACATTTGTGCGTCAATGGGAGACAATGAGTTAAGAATTCAGAGAGTGCTCTGGATCTCTGATCTGTTCATTTTAACACATGTCAAATCTATAATAGAACATGTTGAACATTGCAATGTTTTGTTCCAGTATTCTGCGTGAGATTGACGAGGTGCATCTCAACATGGGGTACTGTCCTCAGTTCGACGCTGTGAACGAGCTGCTGACAGGACGGGAGCATCTGGAGCTATATGCAGTTCTGAGGGGAGTGCCTGAGGAGCAGGTCTGCGATGTGAGTCTCACACTTACACAGTATCCCAGACGCATTACTGCTACTACTACTGCTAAACACAAGGAAACACTGTATGTGTGGTGCCTCCTGGTTTTACGGCTGCAGGGGCTGCCTACGACAGCTCATGGGAGAAATTCTACTTCTGTGAATGAGAAAGATTGCCAAAAGAAATTTGACAATAGTGTTCACTGTCTTGACAGACTCCTACACTTTGTGCACAGGTGGCAGAGTGGGGCATCCGGAAGCTGGGGCTGCTGAAGTACGCAGATAAACGAGCTGGCAGCTACAGTGGAGGAAACCTGAGGAAACTCTCCACCGCTATGTCCCTGATCGGAGCGCCCCCGGTGGTCTTCCTGGTACACTAACACTCTCGTACTTTTCAATTCAATTCAATGTATTTTTGTATTGCCCTAATTCACAGCATTAGTTGGTCATATTAGCGTTATGCATGCTCCAAGTTCCTACAAAGTAAGGAACAGCAGGCGTTGGAGAAAACGAAAGCAGATGCGCTCAGTGATGAGGAATCACAACTATCTCGAGGTCATGGCCCAAATCAACATTTAGAATATGGAAAAACGTGCAATTTATCTAACTATGACATTAATTAAATGTGATGAGAGAGAGAGAGAGAGAGAGAGAGAGAGAGAGAGAGAGAGAGAGAGAGAGAGAGAGAGAGAGAGAGAGAGAGAGAGAAGAGAGAGAGAGAGAGAGAGAGAGAGAGAGAGAGAGAGAGAGAGAGAGAGAGAGAGAGAGATTACCAAAAATGTAGAACTTATTTGAACTCAGAAGCGTGGTTAATCACATGAATTAGTTGACCTAGAATTGTTCTTATGTCATGGTGTCAACTGGAATTTAACTCATTGTACAATTTTAAGGAGTAGACTTTTTTAGTAAAAGGACACTTAAGGACATAGAAAAACATGTAGTTATTTATGATCAGTGATCACAAATACTGCAAAATATTTGATCTGTCCAATTGTCAGACTTTCCTGATGATTGGACACCTGCAGTGCTTGTACATGGACTTATTACTACATTACACTCATACACTTAAGTATACAATACAGTATTATAACAAAACGTAAGTTGTAGCAGTATTAAAAGTTAGACGCAGTCCTTGATGGTCCAGTGTGTAAACTGGGCACAATTACATAATGGTGTTGACCCATAAAAGAGAAGCTTAGGGGGAAATAAAAGGATTTAGGGCAAGGAAAATGGAGCACACACAACAGGAGAAAGTATTTAAAAGACAGAGAAGAAAGGCAGGAAGGACACAGAGCGAGAAAGTTACCAGGCAAGGAGAGAGGAGGAAGGAGAGAGCACACAGAGAGAGGAGACAAGGAGAGAGCACACAGAGAGAGGAGACAAGGAGAGAGCACACAGAGAGAGGAGACAAGGAGAGAGCACACAGAGAGAGGAGACAAGGAGAGAGCACACAGAGAGAAGAGACGAGGAGAGAGCACACAGAGAGAAGAGACCAGGAGATGCAAGAATGAGAGGAGGACAGAAGAAACCCGGACATAAGGCCCAAGGATACATGAGGCTTGTCAGTGCAGAGGTCTGTGTTGGGTTAGACTTGCCCTGACTGAGACTGTTCCTCTGATTCCATGATCCTGCTGCTGTTCTTGTTGCTCCTCACCTTCTCCGTCCTCTTCCTGGTGCACCTCGCTGTGCTGCTGTGGGTGGCGGTGCGGGTGGTCGTAGGACGAGCCCACCACGGGTATGGACCCCAAAGCCCGCAGAGCGCTCTGGACCTGCATCCATGGACTCATCAAGACCGGACGCTCCATCGTGCTCACCTCACACAGGTCAGAGAGCACAGACTGTACCAGGACTGAAGCAGGACTGAAGCAAGACTGAACCAGGACTGATACAGGACTAAAGCAGGACTGAAGTAGGACCTGCAGATGGGACTGGCCCTGGTCTCATTTTAAAGTCTGTGTGTTGCAGTATGGAGGAGTGTGAGGCCCTGTGCACAAGGATGGCCATCATGGTGAACGGCAGGTTCCGCTGCCTGGGCAGTGTGCAGCACCTCAAGAACAGGTAAACACACACACACACACACACAAACACACACACACACACACACAAACACGAACACACACACACAAACACAAACACACACACACACACAAACACACATAAACACACACGCACACAGATACACACAAACACATAAACACACACACACAAACACACACACACAAACACACACGCACACAGACACACACACAAACACATAAACATAAACACACACACAAACACACACGCAGACACACACACTCACACACATAAACACACACACACGCAGACAGACACACACACACACGAAAACACACAAACACACGAACACACACACATAAACACACACACATATAAACACACACACACACACGAACACACACACACAAACACACTCACACACAAACAAACACACACACACGCAGACACACACACACACACACACTCACACACACACAAACAAACAAACACACACGCACGCACAGGCACGCACACACACACACAGATAAAATACTGCACTTTGCTCACTTCATAAAGTCGCAGTTGTACCAATAGTAGTTTCATAGGACTAATGTCAGAGCTCAGAATGCTACATACCACTCCTTGGCGAATGGAACTCAATTGAGAATATTCCCAAGAATGTTTTTAACTTTCTGTTCACACGCAGTCATGCAGACCGATAGATAAAGTACAAATTATCAATTAAGTATAGAAGATACAGTAACAATCTGACAAATGGAAAAAAAAACCTTTGTGCTAAGCCAGGCCTCTGAGTGGAAAGTGGGAAACTCTCACTAAGAGAGAGTGTGCGGCTTTTGACCACACAGGTTTGCATAAATCCCAGATCTCACAAACATTCCGTACAGCTCAGCCTCTGACTTCATGGATAAGAAAACACCGCGGGTGATAATTAGGAACACACAGGCGAGAATAGAGAAAGTCTGCTCTTCCTGACAACTGATCCATCCTGTCACCTTAAGACAATGGTTCCCAAAGTGTGGGTCGGGGGGTTGCAAGATGATTTCCATAAAAATAAAAATAAATGGAACAAATACGACAGCGTCAATCAAATTCAAGTTTTGAGGTGGGTGGGGGAGGTGGGGGTCATGGGTCAGCAGCACATTTATTATGGGGGTTCCTGGCTAAAACGTTTGGGAACACCTGCTTTAAGGGACAGTGTCAGTTGTTTAATAACATCACAATTACACTTTTGTTGCCAAAATCTATCCTGCCGTGTGACACATGTAGCTTCTAAGCACTGATTAATGATGCAATCCACCAACTAGGGTTTGGCTTGAAACGTACAGCAACATTTCACCACCAACAAACTGGCCACCCAAGTGAGCACTTCATTCTGCTCTCTGATTGAAAATCATAAAGGCAAATATTAAAGGCTTCATGTCCATTGTATTTTTTATAAGAATATCTCCACTTTAAAGGTCCAATATCTTTCCTTCGCACACAACAATAGTTTAGCACTTTACAGCTGTAGCCTGTTTCCAGAGGTCTCCCATCACAGTACCAGCCAAGCCCTGTTCTGCTGAGCTTCTGAGGTTCTGACTTTCACATGCAGGTCGCGCCACACAGATTTTAAAAAAGTCTAATTTTGACAGCATATAGAAATGTTTGTGCCAGAAATATCAGATGTTAGTGTGAATGGAGATAAAAACAAATGTAAGTCAGTGATAATAATACTGTAAAAGTTTAAAAATGCAGAAGTATAATTCATGTCCCATGGGAGTTGTAACGTTTGCCTGTGTGTTTCGTGATGCAGGTTTGGAGATGGCTACACCATCGTGCTGCGGGTGGCCGGTCCAGACCCAGACCTGGTCCCGGTTCAGAAGTTCATAGAGTCTACTCTGAGCGGCAGCACGCTCAAAGAGAAGCACCGTAACATGCTCCAGTACCAGCTTCCGTCCCGCCTCACGTCCCTGGCACACATCTTCAACACTCTGGCCACGCACAAGAGCCAGCTGAGCATAGAGGACTACTCTGTGAGCCAGACCACCCTGGACCAGGTAAGAAGCAGGACTGGACCAGGACTGAATCTGAAACTTAAGCAAGTAATGCAGGACTAAAGACTCAATCCTACTTTATAAGACGTATGACCTGTTCGCCTCAACAAACAGACCTGCGATTTTATTCATATGATGGTCTGGACCTCTGCCCTGAGCTGCCCTTTTCATGGGCTGTGATTGGATGTACTTGATTGGACAAAAAAATCTTGTGTTTCACTGCATTATGTCAACAACAAACAGCACAAACTAAATTTGTTGTGACTTTACTCTTATACTCTGTATTAGTAAGATTAAGTCCCAGTGGCAGAGTGGCAAGCACTCTCGCTTCTCAGCAAGAAGGTCCTGGGTTCGAATCCCGGTCGGAATAGGGCCTTTCTGAGTGGAGTTTGCATGTTCTCCCCGTGTCTGCGTAGGTTTCCTCCGGGTACTCCCCTACCACTGAAAACATGTACAGTAGGTCTGGCATGCGCCTCCTGCACTGGCTCCGCTCCCATCTCTGTGTGGAGTGAGAGACTAATGCCCAAAAATAACAATTATAAACCGCTTTGTGACTCTGGTCTGTGAAAGGCGGTATATAAATAAACATTACTTACTTACTTACTTACAAATAAAATCATGCAACATTGTTTGCAGCTAATTGTCTAAAGTGAGACTAAAGCGGGACTAAAGCCAGACTAAAGCAGGTCTAAAGTAAGTCTGAAGCAGGACTGAAATAGGTCTAAAGAAGTGTTTTTCAACCACTGTGCCGTGGCACACTAGTGTGCCGTATGATATTGTCTGGTGTGCCGTGAGAAATTCGTCTACTTTGTCTAAAAATAACTGCATTCGCTGTTGACGAGCGGTGACTTGTTTTGAACTGTGGAGTAACCATGTAATACTTTTTCAAATCAGTAGATGGCAGCAGATAGCTAAGTACTTTGAAACTGAAAAATTGGATGCGACCACTGGCTGTAACAGGTCAGCATTGTGGCGAGAAAGGTAAAATTGGATGCGACCAACAAATGTGGGAGGGAGCGAGACAAGAGCTTTGTGGCGAGTGAGAAGTGAAAGTGATAGAGACGTTTTTGAAAATGAATTATGCCGTTTCTGAACAGGATTAACATCCTCCGCTCTGCAGCTGTGGCCGCGTTGTAGTGGTTTAACTATGAAATGTAAAATTTTTGTACAACAGCTCTCGCGAACGCACTTCTGAACTGGGTACCGAGCGCAGACCATAGTCGAGTGGACAGAACCACAGACATGCGGACCGGACAGAACCATGGACTCGCGTTCAGGACCTCCCGTGTCCCTCATCCAAAACTCCTGAATTTAAAGCTCGGATACCTAAATTTTTCCCATGCACTAACAATGCATGCTCTTTGTGTGAGTTATTATTTGACTATTTGGGCAGAGAGTGGATTTTCTTAGTTTTTTTCCACACAGTTAGTGCCACTTTATTACCAAACTCTTGTTAATTGTATCGAGAAATATTAAATAAAGCTTAATGTCAAGGCCTGGACTTAAGCATTTTGATGAGAATAACTGTATATTGTGAATATAGGCTACAGAGTATACTGTATACATTATAAGATAAGATAAGATATACTTTATATATCACACAGAGTATGTACAGTATATATTTTTACATTAGTACTGTATACATTTTTACATTTTCTCCTGGAGGTGTGCCGCAAGATTTTTTCAGTGAAAAAAGTGTGCCTTGGCTCAAAAAAGGTTGAAAAACACTGGTCTAAAGTACAACTAAATTAGGTCTAAAAAGCAGGACAAAGGTAGGACTGATGCAAGACTAAAGCCAGTCTAAAGCAGGACTAAAGCAGGACTAAAACAGAACTAAAGCAGATCTAAAGCAGGTCTAAAGCAGGTCTTAAATTGTTGTTTGCTGCTTTCAGGTGTTTGTGAACTTTGCTAAAGACCAGAGCGATGACTATCATTTCAAAGACGCCTCTGTGCGCCGTAAGGACCCGCCCCTTGCTGTCAGCGTGGACCTTTCACACGAGGAGGAGACGGTCATGTGACACCCCCTGGAATCCAACCCCGCCCCCTTTGAGCCAGTCAATGCAAAAGCACATAGACATTCCTACAAAGTGTTAAAACTTGAACGTGCGCTGCCTTTCATGGAGGATTCTTTTTGTCCAAATCATTTCAGAAATTTTTACTGAAAAAAGCCAATTTTCTAAAGAAATGTTTGATTGTTTTTTTTTTCTAAAATATTGTTGTTTTAAAATGCTTGTTATTTATGTTGAATTGAAACTGATGCCGACGTGATGTTGGCGAGTTACACGGTTAGTTTGGGTTTGTGCTCTGGACCAGGTGACGAGGCGACCAGGTGACGAGGTCGGAGGCGGGACAGACACCAGATTAGAATTCCCATTTGTCAGTATTGTACTTTTATGGCTGCTTTGTTAAAGATGACATGATATGCAAAAGGATTATTTAACACCATGACTCCCAGAAACTACTACCCTCTCAGAGCAGTAATTTTGACAGCTCCTATTCAAATTAAGGGAATACTTAAAAAATCAGGTTACCACTACTTAATCAAGGTTTTTACTACTAAAACTGGTTAAACTAAATGCTACCTGCTGCAAGTATTAGCTAACACTGTGTTGCTATGGTAACTAGCACTTTCTCCATGCTCAGATTGCTCTGAACCAGTCAAGGACCAGTGGAGCATAGAAATAAGCTGCATATAGGTACAGAAAACGTCACAATGTTATGGAGACCTAAAATGTACCTAAGCGAAATTACACTTCCAGAAAAGCCTAAAGCCACCAAATTGACTGCTCTGGGAGTTTTAGTGTTAAAACGAGGAGGTAGGAAGGTGTTAGGAAACAAGCCAAGGACCGTCCAGAGCACAGACATGTGTCCAATCAAGAAGAAGTTGATTTTGTAGTTTTTTAAGTGTAAAAAAATAAATACCTCAAAGCAGTGTCTTTGTTGTTATGTTTAAATCAGTTCCGTGTCTCACAATGTGTTCAACATTTGGTCCTGTCAATAGTGCAGTCCTGGACCGGTCCCATCTCCTCCTGTATGTGGCACTTTCAAAACACTGTTCTCTGAGACTTTTGTTGTGAGAAAACAAAAAACAACTGTAGTGTACCACCTGCCTGGACTACGAATCACACGTGAACCACACTACTGTTCCCATAATGCAGTGGGGCACATGTGTGTAATGGAGGGTGGCTGATAGCTGTTTGGAGATGGATCGGAAACATCACTGCTCCTGTTCATCATCATCATCATCATAGTTTTATATGAGACAGACAGGCCCGAGGCAGTTTAGAGCAGACAAGGTTATTAATATGATCGTTGATTTGTTAAAAAATGCATCTAACATCCAGGAAGAAAAGGGAGGGATCAATCAATCAATCAATGTTTATTTCTATAGCACAGTTCATACAGAATGCAACCCAAAGTGCTTCACATCGGCAACATTTAAAAGCAATTTAAAAACACACTGTAAAAACAAATACAAAAGACAGTTCTATATCCCTCAGCTCTATGTCCCTCAGCTCTATGTTCTGTCAGCTCTATGTTCCCTCAGCTCTATGTCCCCTCAGCTCTATGTCCCCTCAGCTCTATGTCCCCTCAGCTCTATGTTCCCTCAGCTCTATGTCCCTCAGCTCTATGTTCTGTCAGCTCTATGTTCCCTCAGCTCTATGTTCCCTCAGCTCTATGTCCCCTCAGCTCTATGTCCCTCAGCTCTATGTTCCCTCAGCTCTATGTTCCCTCAGCTCAATGTTCCCTCAGCTCTATGTTCCCTCAGCTCTATGTTCCCTCAGCTCAATGTTCCCTCAGCTCTATGTTCCCTCAGCTCTATGTTCCCTCAGCTCTATGTCCCCTCAGCTCTATGTCCCTCAGCTCTATGTTCCCTCAGCTCTATGTTCCCTCAGCTCTATGTCCCCTCAGCTCTATGTCCCTCAGCCCGATGTTCTCAGGGTCCACAGTGTTCTCACTTTTCTGTATCAATATGTATGAAATGTCATCCCCTGACCCTAACCTATATTACAGTGTGGTACTGTATATTGTTTGTGCTGCATTAACCCACACTTTAAGCCCAGCAGGATCATTAGACACAATTAATATGATAAAATGATTTATTTGTTTGGGGGATTGACCCCGGCAGTGACACTTGCAGCGATGAGATCGATTGCAGCTGAAGATGATCTCAGATCCACCGGGGTCAATCACTGGTGGTGGCTAGAGTATGGTGTGAATGGGGCGTAGCCAGAGCAGGAGCCGGAGCGGGAGCCAGAGCATGAGCGGGAGCCAGAGCTGGGCCAGAGCGGGGCCAGAGCGGGGGCCAGTGCAGGAGCCAGAGCAGGAGCCAGAGGAGGTGTTGGGGAGGTGGTTGGTGTTAAGGCGGAAGCGCTGCTTGTCAGGAAGTAGCTGCCTTTTAAACTTCCTGCTTTGATGACAGAGAGTTGGCAGGAGGCTGGCTGTGTGATTGGTTGGCTTGGAAGGGGGAATTTGCACTCGGTCTTTCAGTCTGAATCTGCGCTTCAGATTCATTTAGAAGTGTTAAAGAGTTAGCCTCAGGATCAGGGCGTGTCTAGCCACTCCCGCAGGTTGTAAATCTCCAACCCGTGGCTGAGCTTTCGTTTCCTTGAGAAAGTTCTTTGGATTAAGAACGACACGTCAGGAAACCTGCTTACTGAAGTACAAATGATGGGCGAGCAACCTTCATTTGTTTATTTATATTTTCTTTGTCACTACTTTCAGACTAGCTCTACATTATGTCCAAACAGGCTGTAAAACAGCTGCAGTACATCCAAAATGCAGCAGCTCGAGTCCTGACTAGAACCAGGAAGTACGACCACATTAGTCCAGTTCTCAGGTCTCTGCACTGGCTTCCTGTGGCTCAAAGAATAGACTTTTAAACAGCTCTGCTTGTTACAAGTCTCTCCATGGCCTCGCACCAAAATATATTAGTGACATGTTAGTCCCATATGAACCAGCCCGGACTCTGAGGAGCACAGGGACTGGACTCCTGTTAGTGCCCAGAGTCAGAACTAAACATGGGGAGGCTGCTTTTCAGATTCATGCTGCTAAAATCTGGAACATTCTTCCTGAAGATGTGAGACAGGCCTCTTCTCTGACAATGTTTAAGACAAGGTTGAAAACAGTTCTGTTTAGCTGTTCATACAACTGAGGGATTTTATATTTTTATCTTTCTTTTTAATGTTCTGTGATTATGATTTTAATGCTATCTTGTTCAGCACTTTGAGTTGCCTTGTGTATGAATTGTGCTATACAAATAAACTTGCTTTGCCTTGCCTACATTCACAGCATGACACCTTGGCCGCTCTGTGGTGACGCTGTTACTATCAAAGCAATGACCTGAAAGTTAGAGAAACATAGAAGAGTGGACAACATGAACAAAACACAAAGCGCTTATACAAGTTTCATTTTCACATTTTTATTTCACTCAAATCTTAAAAACATTTGTCATTAATAAAAACCGCCCCTTGCATGACGGAAGCATGATTCAGGCTGTCCAATCATGATTCAGGCTGTTTGATTGTTGTTATTAACTTCTCTCTTTTTTGTGTCTGTGTGGCTTTTTGACTTTTTTGGAAAACATTTTGGTGGCACCATTTTCGGACTAACGGTTTCACAGCAGCGTGTCCGTTACAGTAATCTATGCATTTACAGGCTAACAGCTACATTCTCTTTGAGCTACATTGTACATTTCCATCTTCAACCTTTCTGTATTCTTTCCTTTGTTTTAAAAGATGCATTGGCTTCAGTTATTATTTTAGCATAACACAGCTTGAACCGAGTCAGTTCCAGACACTTTAGGCTTTTTTTCATCCAACACTATTTATCTATGAATCTGCATCTTGTAACAGGAAGTGGTGAATGTCACTATAATGCCACAAACCAGTACTGGTAAAAAGTACTTTACAAATATATCAAACATTGGTTATTACATTTGAATTACTTCTTTTTATACAGTTGTGCTTGAAAGTTTAAATACCTTGGCAGGATTTGTTTTGCCACATTTTGCAGATTCAACATATGTCAAAGCTTGGAGTCACTTGTAGTTTTTGTGGATTGGGTTTTTTGTCCTCCCTGATGGTAAAGCTAACAATTCATTTGGCCAAAAGCCTTTAAATTCCTGGGCCGCCTTGAATTAACTGCACGAGTTAAAATAGAAAACATGGCTATATGACATTATACAGCTTCACACAACCACGGACAATCTGTGAAAGAAAAGTGAATTTGTAATCCTTCATCTTTAAAATAAGGTGACAATGTTCTCTCTGGGTGGGTATGATAACTTTCAAGCACAAGGGGAGTTCAGGAAGGAAGTACAGATGCTAACAGAGAGCCAATAATGATAGCCCTGAACATCAGTGGCCTTCAGCTGCTGTGATACCGGCCGGCTCCAGAAGGCGGTGCCACTCTTGCACACGTTCTACTTATGTCATGTCTATGTTAAAACTTGGGTTAAACTGTGGCTTAGTGCAACGTTAGTTCACACCCACAGAGTCCTCTGATTGGTCCATCGAAGAACCGGAGTCTTCAGACGAAACGGGTTTGGACAAGTATCAGACATCCACCAGAAACCCTTACATTTATGTATGTCCAAAATTTATGTCACTATTTTATTTAAAGAGTTGATCAACGCCGAGGTGAGAAATCCTCAGGGTTAGCGTGGTCCGATTGACGTGTAAAATCCTCTCATTCCAAATGCACACCACCATTTCTACTGCGGTTGAGCTTTCATGTTTAAGTGGATTGTAATGAGACATCGGGCAGTGATGCGTTTAAGAGCACAGGAAGAAACCAAGGTTATATTAGAAATGTACGTATTTGGACGCACACTTGGAGGATTTTTTTTTTTTTTTTTTACGTGAAGCAAATGCGGAACTTTACGGGAATCACAGCTTTTAAGGGCACCACAGAAGTCCAATCATTTGTGCTGCAGCGGCTGAGCATGTGTGAAAATCAAATTCCCAAAGTAAACTAATGTACATATGTATTCACATTAATGTTACTGTTAACTTGC